TTAATGAGACAGTTCCCTTCACCCACTCCCAAACACCGTGTGCTCAGGCTGAACGTAGGATGTCCCTTTTATTTTAGCAGCCTGTAATCAGTTTGAGGCAGTGGGCTGGATGTCAGTGAGGCTAATAACGGGCAATTAAAAGCCAGTTGCCTGTTGCACTGATATAAAATGTGGTGCACCAACTGCTCAACAGTCAAATCACAGCAAATGCCATATGGGACTTTTTAGGCTACTGATGTGGCTTTGTAGGGATGGAAATGCTCAGGTCGCCATGACATTTCATACAGAGGGTGAATTTGGTGATTCTCTGACTTGATTTTCCTTTTTTCGGGGATATCAACCACCCACCATCTAGAATGCTTTTCCTATGAGGGTCGTGGGGGAGCTGATATTAGGCTAAAACAGGATACACCCTGGACATGTAGCCAGAGCATCGCAACATACAATTCACCTAACCCCAATCTGCATGTCTGGACTGTGAGGAGAACATGCAAACTCTGCACTGAAACCCAGGATTCAAACATTCTTGCTGTGAATGTGTGTTTGCAATAAAAGTTTGTACTCACATTAAATTATTTTTAATTGCCAGGTCCAATATGTTTTGTGTTCAGCACCTTGATTTATGACCAATTACCTACAATACTACTCACACCATCATTTGTTGTGCTTCATGTTTGGTGCTAATTAGCACATCTGTTGCATGCTAACACACTGAGATGGTGAACCTGGTCAACATTATACCAGATAATTAGCCAGATAATCACGGCTTCATTGTTGTTAGCATGTTAGGATGCTGACTTAAGCATTTCAGCTCCAAGCAACGCAGCTGTGACAGAGCGGTTTGCACGGTTATAGAACTTGTTTATAAAAAGTAGAGGACATGACAGCTCCCCAAAAGTGAAGCCAAAACGCCTGGTGGCTGGCTTCAGTGAGTGTCATAAATGCTGCCTCCTCCATGTTAGTGGATGGGACATGGACCAAACTAAGTCAAAGTAGATGTTTTGATGATTTGTTATTTTTGCTAGTTATCATATGTCCAAACACCGGTTCTTATGACGATCTTATCTATGCTATAAAAAAATGGGGTGACGTCATTATTGACAGATGAGACTCAAGGCTCAATCTACCAATTGCCACAGGACAGACTCTGAAAGATGGCGGCGATCGTATCCGGGATATTTTGACTTCATTTATATTTGGAGGACGTGGAGACGTGACATCCATCTTTGTATACAGTCTATGCTTATTTTAGTAGCATTAATTGTATATAGTATATACAAATACTGCACTATACTTTCCTTTAAGACAGAGCAGGATATTGACTTATACGTGAACAGGAAATGTGCAATTTGTAGGACGTGCAAAGGTGATCGAAGAAAGCTTCTGCCAGTTAAACCTGCCAAAGAGATAGACACCGAACACTCTCTTTTGACACACTGGATCTTTCACCATCCACTGCATTGTTGGAGGATAGTGTCAATCAACAGCACACTTGAGAATTCAGGGCTTTTTGCTGTGCATACGGAATGTACCTATTTGGCAGTTTTACAGTGTATCACACAAAAACAACCTGTGTAGAGTAAGTGTGGATTGTGATATGTCTGAGTGTATCTTGTTTTCTTCATGTTAAAAGAAGCTTTTTAATAATTCGTTACCAGAATTGAGCTTATAATTGAAAAAGGAGTAGAACCAGAGCCAGAACAGACGGCTTTCATGCATGTATTTATCAAACGCTTTCCACATCCATTAACGACATATATTTAAATTACACTAAGCTTTAGTATTCCTGTCTGCAGAGGCTCCTTCATCTGCTCTCCTCATCATTCCATTTTATCCATACTCCTGAATTCCTCCTCTATCTCTATTTAATGACCCCTATTTAGTTTGTGCTCCACTGAAGACTGGCTGCTGGCGCTGCTGCTGTAGAGATGAGGATGGGGGGGTGCAGGATGAGTTGCGATGCGTCTCCTATCCATTATTGATCCATGATTACCAAGAGTTTAGCTGGGTCCTCAACTTCAACGCACTAAAAGAGGCTGTTAAAGAGATGTGGCTGTGTCACAGCTTTGCCATACAAAATAATTCAGCACTAAAATGTCACATCAAAGCTGCGTCCTGCGCTATTTGTTAAAACGTCCACTGGAAAGCAGCGTCACAGTGTAAACTTTTCCCAGTGGTTTTGATAGTGTGTGTGAAATTACGGGTGTGGTGGTATTGCTGATAACAGTGGCCAGAGGTAAGAGAAGCCTGAAAGCTCGCCCCCTCCCTCTTCAACAACCATCTGTATCACTCAGGGAAAGCCTCCTTGAGACAGCTCCACAGACCCGTTGATCCTGATGCATCTTGACACTGATGGTGCACACAACTGACCTTTGGGCTGTCGAGTGCACTCAAACAACACTCGCTGCATGTGTTTATGTCCCAGAGACAGTCTAATGAGGATGTATCTGCCAGCCAGCCAACTGCGGGAGCAAGTGCTAGGATACAGCTGCTGTCACCAGGGCTCTAATCACACGGCTTCTTGAGTGACTCATTTCGGGTAACATTGTCACGGTGGTGGCATTCTAGCAGCAAAGTTAGGACAAATCTTCCCCGGATACACTCAAGATGTAATTTGTAGTGGTTTGTGATTTGTTCAAAGATGATGTTAAATAATATTACTTATCTTTGCACATGAATACACCCAAACGTTGTCCTGTTTCGTAGTCTGTGTGCTCAAACCATATCAAAGACAAAGTTTGATTCATATGATTCCTGCAGATGCTCGGAGGTGTACTGCAGCCATACTGTACTCACAAGACCAAGTTTGGGGTTCAAGTGCAGGAATACTGTCAATGCTTGCCTATGATACTGCTTGACCAATTGCAAGTCAGTCTCAGCTGTCAGTCGTGACATTTCAACCAAGATTTAAACCATCAAGTAACTAAACATTCTTACATACATCACTGTGATAAGAATAACCTAAACTGACTGCACCCATCTTTGAGAAAACTTTACTTGATGTGTACTTTGACTTTTTATTTTGGTCCATGTCCCATCCATTAACATAGAGGAGGCCTACACTGCAGCCACCCAGCAGATGGGGTATGATATACTTTGACTTCACTTTTAGGGAGCAGTCATGTTGTCGATCTTTAAAGTCTTTATGTTATTTAGTCCGAAACCCTAACACGTGGATGCGCAGATATGGATAAAGACAAAAGCAGCCAATCCTTATCTTCAAAATACTTGAGACAGAGAATGTTATAGGTTTTGCTTAGAAACTGGCCAAAGGGAATAATTAAGAAGTAAAATAATTTGATTTCTCTTGATCAATGACTTGGTTAATTAACTTGTGTAGGTCTAAAAATTACCTCCTATTCATACTCTTGATATCTAACGATCTATGTATCATTATCTAGTTTTTAACATTGACAACATTTAGATGACTAAGGTTTGGTCAAAATATTCTACTGAGTGCACAATTTCAGAAGAGCTCTAAGCCTATCATTTGCAATGACTCCAACTCTGAAGGACAAGCAAGTATAAGCACAGGCGTCTGTTTTATTTCCACCTCTGGGTGAGTCTTAGTGGAGGCTTTCTGTGTGGAATCAACTGAAGCAGCATTGAGAGCAGCCTTGGCGTCTGTGTGAAAGCTCAGCGCCACACTCCACTTTCTCTGCCCAGACCGTCCTCCAGAGAGGGGTTTGTGCCATTAAATATTCACACGGCACTCACAGGACTTCATCTTCGGAGAGGTTTACCTGGCCAACACCTGTCTGATTCTTTGTTTTCCATCAGAATGCGCTTTGACATAAGAAGATGTGGCTCAGCAGAGGAGATATCCTTGAATGTCTTCAACCTTGGCATCAAGTGCAGATAGTTTCACTCTCCAGCAAAATGTCATCAATCATCCATGATTTGTACCCATGCAGTTCTATGATTTTTTAAATATATTATATATCATTTTATTGTCAGGGCTGTCAAAGGGCTTTATCAGACTCCTCTGCAGAAAACTGATTTATCAAAGTTAAGCTTCATCACTTGTCCTCAATGTTCAGTTGATGTCTGACAACATGTACCAACAGTAAACTTGCGGGTGTCTTGAGCCACAAACGCAGGTAAAAAAAATAAGAAACATGTCCGCCAGTAAGGGACCTGTGTGACTGTATTATGAAGCAAGTGCAACATACTCAGGTAGCTTTTCGTATCCAGGTTCACTAAAAACACAAACTTAACCTTCTCCGAATCAGGTTTTATAGAGGTTCAGCATAGGTTTGCATGGTGATTAACCCAAGTAAGACATGAACCAGCTTCATCGCATTGAAAAACCTTGACTAAAAGGAAGTCACCTCGATAACCTTACATACTGCTTCATAGTACAAGCCTCAGGTTACTCAAAAACACACATAATGGCAAAATGTATCATTTAATTAATCCGTCAAAATTAGTTATATGTGGTTTGCATGAATGGCGTGGCCTTGAATGGATGTCAAATTCCCAGCCTGAGTTATTATTTCTGCTCCTGTTGGTGTATTCACTGGAGAAATGGTGTGTTAAAAAAAACAGTGCTCATTCACTAGTTTGTTTTCTCTGTAAAATGCTCTGCTGCAGTTGACTGACAATGGATGGGTAGATTACCCAGTTAAAGCTGCTGCAGTTTCGAGATACAAAAAGTATTTCCTCATTATTTTGTAGTAGTGACATGTTTGGGTCAGTTTTATTAACTCTCACTATGTCTAATGGTTATTATCCTATATTCCCATTTATTCTCAATGACGGCAGGTGGGACATCTGTGGAATGGAAACTGTAGTAGCCCATTTTTTTTTCGGATAGTTGCTCTGATGCAAGGGCAATATATAGACACTCATAACAATATCATTAGTGAGAGTTGGCCAATTAGCTTTCAACCTTGAAGTTTCATGCACAGACAAAAGTCACCATCTGTCAGCATATTGTGAGGCAGCCCTCTGTGATGATGATGTGCTCACAGCTCTCTAACTGTTTGTTTTGGCTGCAGGAACTTCTACTACATCACCATGCTGCGCGACCCAGTCTCCCGCTACCTGAGTGAGTGGAAGCATGTTCAGCGTGGCGCCACATGGAAGACCGCCCTCCATATGTGTGATGGACGCTCACCCACCCAGGATGAGCTGCCCACCTGCTACAGCGGGGATGACTGGTCTGGTGTCACCCTGACAGAGTTCATGAACTGCCCGTCCAACCTGGCCAACAACCGGCAGGTCCGCATGCTGGCCGACCTGAGCCTGGTGGGCTGCTACAATTTGTCCTCGATGAATGAGAGCCAGCGGAACCACATCCTTCTGAGCAGCGCCATGAGCAACTTGAAGAACATGGCATTCTACGGCCTGACGGAATTTCAGCGCAAGACGCAGTACCTGTTTGAGCGGACGTTCAGTCTGCGTTTCATCTCCGCTTTCACACAGATCAACAGCACGCGAGCCGCCAACGTGGACCTGAGCGAGCCCGTGCGCAGACGCATCGAGGAGCTCAACTTCTTGGACGTGCAGTTGTACGAGTACGCAAAGGACTTGTTCCTCCAGCGTTTCCAGTTCACCCGCCAGAGGGAGCACCAGGAGGTGCGCTTGAAGAGGCGCGAGGAGAGGCGTTGGCTGAGGGAGCAAAGGGAGCAGGGCAGGCCGTGGCAACCCAAACACAGAGGAGGTGGAGACAGAGGCGAGAGAGCGGGAGGAGATTTTGAGAAAGGGACTGATGGTGACTTTCCTACCACTACTGAGGACTACACAAGCCAGGTGGCCCGCTGGTGAAGCTTTGGTCCCATAAAGAGAGAGGAGTAAAAGAGAGAGAGCAGCCAATGGAGATTCCTCACAGACTACTTCAAATATTTCCTTTGACGCTCTCTTGCACATCCTATGTCTCTCTATTCCCGTCTCACCATTTATCTGTCTCCTGCATCTATCCGTCTCTCAGCTTCAGTGTGATCCGAGTGCTCTGCTGTTTCTTTACGAAAACTGCCAAGTCTGTGAGTCTCACAGCAGCTCTGCCTTGGACTGCCTTTTGGTGTCTTAAATCTTTAAATGCCGTTTATATATTTTTTGTCATTTAATTTTTGCCTTTGTTGTTTTTTCATTTGTTGGGAAAAAAGACAGTAAACTGTGGTGAAAGGAAAAACACAATCAAAAGAAGCTGCCATAGACTGCAATGCTTTCAATTTTGACATGAAGTGCAAAATGAAATAATGTCATTGAAGTCATTGTCTTTGTTGCAACTGGTAGAAACATTTTCCATTTGAAAGTTGTAGTTGTAGAGCTGATGGTTGCATGTCACATGTTATATTTCTAATTGGGGATAATAATTTCCAAATGATATACAGTACTGTAAACCAAAGGGAATATCACAATATACAGAATATATTTGCTTTTAATTTAATGCAGATGAAACCCTCTCTAACGCTGGACTCACAAGTGTGTGTTATGTTTGCGCTCAACGGTGGGTGTGTCCGACATTTGGTGCCAGCGGTAATTTGCTATAACGACAACAATCACATGGTTATTGTTTGGGACACACAACATTGCTGGTTTCCATGCTAGCTTTCAATGCAATGCTAAAGTGCGAAGTACATGAGGAAATAATATCCACAATCAGATGAACACACACAAGCTTCTCTCTCTTTTGGATTATGTGATTTGATTGGCGAGTGCTTCAGTGTTTGTTTAAACACAATTTGATTGGCTGGCACATGAACAGTCGATCTCTGAGCTACATGATGCAATTGAACCAGAATGCAGTTCGGCAGCGCATGACGTCACCCCATTCAAAGTGAATGAGCAGCATTTTGGTTGACGCCTCCCAACGCTTACATGTGAGTCCAACATAAGAACCATTATTATGCATGCAGCACCATCTTTTTAAACCAAATTTTACAATACTGATGCTAATATTTTTGTTGCAGTGCAACAGTATTATTTTCAAAGTGCAATACTTGGCAGGAGAACACTCCTCCCTAAGACATCATGATGTGCACACAGAGCGAGTCACAATGGGGACATCCTGCTGAGAAAAATATCTTTCCTGGTACCTTTGCAAGAACTTTGTGTTTTTTATATCAGAAATGGAAACACGTTTTTTGAAGTGGTGGGTTGGGGATAAGAAGTTGGTAAATAGTACAGGTGATGAAATGTGTCAGTGTGGCTGGTGTGTGGCTCGACTGTAAATGAGATAATCAGCATTCAGTGCTCATGCCCCTCCCCGTCACACTGTCTGCTTTTACATGTTTGTAGAGCTGACTGCAGCCGCAACGTGGGCAGCCAGAGCGTTCTAATGCCAGCATGAGTGCCAGCCTACAGAGACCAGCCTCAAAGCAGACAGTGGAGAAATAAAACACTCTGTCATCTCTCCTGCCCGATCATTTCCAGTCCCTCAAATCCAATCAGCGGAGCAACACACAAGGATGAGAGAGGGCCTCTGCTTTCATATGGTTAAATAGGCCACAGTGATTGTTTTATGCCTCTTATCTCATTCAATCAAAATCCCTGCTTATCAAATTAAATGTTCACTAAATGTCAACACTGAAGTCAGTTACCTGCTGCTGTTCATTTCTCTTGTTTCTTCAAATACCTCAGATGACATGTTTTTCTTTAATTTTCAAGACTCACTTGTGTCTTGTCGTGTTCGGATGATTTACGCACTGATGCAGTGAATGAGTGGAATGAACGCAGGTTTGACTGTTTGATTGTTTGAGCTGCATTGGTGCACTTCAGTGTGGAAGGATGGGGCAGAACAAAGGTGAGTTGTGTTCATCACATCGATAACACTCGATCAAGTGTTTCACATGTAGGCACCAGCTACAGCTCTGAATACTGAATCAGTTTGTGAGGTTAAATCAGAACTACATCCATCGTCCTGCAGTTTGTGATGTAGTAGTGAAATAACACAACAAAATCTGACTTAATGTAATTTTAAATACATTTGGGATAATTGCAATTGTACCTAGAAAACATTATAAGTAACTTTTGCAATAAAATTATGTTTATGTAATTGTATTCTTGCACTCCAAACTTAAACTTAACTACAGTTATACAATAGCGGATTCTAGACTATTAGGGCCACTTAATGGGGAAGAAAAATATGAAATTATGACTACTTCTTCCTCATTAAATTAAAACTTTATTCTTGCATTGTCATGAGTTTTTCTTATTAGGGTAAAATTGAATCTTCTTAAATTATTGGAAATTTAAAAAAATCTTCAATATGGCTTTAATAATCTGCCGTAAATTTCACATGCCATTTCTCTCAAGTATCAACATTTCTGACTAAATAAACAGCATCATCGTTAAAATTTGGTTAAACTACATTCCAGAGCATTTTAATTAAGAATTTAACCTTCACATTATCAGGACTGTGTGGGTGTGGTTTAATTAGATCTATTCAGTGGTGCACAATGTGCTCAGATTCTTTAGTTAAGCAAAAGCACCAGAAAAACAACTGTGGGGTTTGTAGTAATGGAGGCAGATAATAGCAGTGAAGAAATGTCATTAAATGTACTTACTTTTAGTGTTTCATAGCAGAGTGGGAGGTTGGTGGAAACCCAAAGTAATCATCCAAACTCAGAGGGCAAATAAAAGGAATGTGTAATAAACTGAAACGTAAAGAAACTCCAGGGAACAACTACACTGAGCTGAACAAGAACAGACAAACAAATATACAAACCGACAAGATGACTGAGGAGCTCCACAGACTCTAAATAGTCGAGGGAGGAGAAGATGATTGAACACAGGTAGAACACATGAGGACGGGGCAGACAATCACACAGGAGGGAAACCAGACAGAGACAGGAAGTAAAGCGAGAGATAAGGTAAGAAACTTCAAAGTAGAGCAGGAACTGACAAATCCAAACTGAACTACACATCCAAAGATCCAAATCCAAACCCTCAAACTCAAGAAATTAACAAGTCCGATGAAAATTCAAATCGACAGTCAAGGTAATGATCTGCATTACCTTTATAGAGACATAGAAGCATTGTAATCAAAATGTGCTGAAAGAATCAAATAGTGTAGAGAACATTTTGCCCGGTGACTGAAATATTTTCTTTAGGCATTATTAGATTTTTAACACTGTGACACCAATGTCTAAGCTGTTGAAGATGGTAGAATTTGAGCTAACTGTAATTGCTAACAAATAACATGAAAAATCAATTCTATTCATAACAAGCCAAAACATATATTGGGAACCACTGGTAAATCTCACCAAAGTGTAAATGTAGTGAGGTAAAAAGTTAAGTCCTCTTTAAATGTAGTGGATTAGAAATTTCACATAGCGATTAAATGCATGTAGATTAAATGTGTGTTTTGGCCAAAAGGGGGCGGAACAGAGCCATCATTAATGTCATGACTAAAAACGTTTGCTTTAATATCTAGTAACATGTCTGCCTGGTGTTACATTGCTACTTTTTCTCAGCCAAAGAATCTGAATACTTCAATAACCCGATATACAGTGTTTTGAATCTACTTCTAATTCGATTTCTATTTTTAAATGACATTTCTTTTAATAAATAAAAATTCTGCTCTCCTGTGTGATAAGCTCCTCTGTGACAGATGGCATGAGCACTGCGTGAACAGTACAAGAGCTGTATGGCTACTAATGAAACACTCCTTCTAGTGTTATAAATGTGTTTTACGATAGCGTGTGTGTGTGTGTGTGTGCGCGTAACAAAGGTTCAATGATTGTAAGTGATGAATAAAATGTTGCATGTGGGATCATTGTATTATTGTTGTAAACTGTATTCAAATCATTGACTTTGCATTAATTCATTGCATTTGCATCAACAACACTGTGCAGATGGGAAACTCACATTTTAAGGGACCTTGTGAATAGTTAATTTGAGGGGTCGAGGTCGATCCCCACCTTTGATTACCCATCATCCCTTTCTGCTTATTGCATATCTGAGATCAGAAAATTTACCTAAACTGCTCAAAAATAACAAATAAAACGAGAGCATTCTTTCAAAATCCAGGCTTCTTATTTCTGTGATTTTAAAATATTTGCTTCACCTTAAAAGCTTTCTACCAATTTTGAAGTTTGAGAAGTAAAAACTGTAAATAATATGATGAATAAAAACATACAAGCATTCTCACGCGTACTTATACTGCCATTCCAGGAAAACTGTGGCAAAGGAGTATTTTAATAAATATCTACTGCCACTACTACTGCGTCTCTCTGTGAAGCTGATTTATCTGTGTTCATTTCTTTATTCCTATGATTTTTAACTGTTGCTAAAGAATGGCTTTGCCTGATGGAAACTATGAGTATTACCAACACCTGAGTGATAATAAGTGGAAGAGAGCTTTCTTGGTGTAAGAATTTCTATGTACATGTTAAAAGTCTTGTGATGAAATGAACAGTCTAAAAGCCTTTGGCCTGTAATATTTAATCTGCCATTTTTCTTGTTTGACCTGATAAAAAAAAACGAGTGAATTCTGCTTAAGATATCAGAAATAAAAGCATTGAATGGTCATGACATCCTGATGTGTGTTGCTTTCATTTTCTCAGTCAGACAGCTTAATTAAAAAATGCTCACATGTGCTAGATCTTGTTGACAGATAGTCAAGATAGATCCATCTGCTCTATCTGCTTATCTGGGTGCGGTAGGCTTGAATCTATCCCAGCATTCATTGGGAAAAACACAGGGAGGACATCAGTCTATCCATACATCTTTTACAATAAGCTTTCACTAAGGTTATATACTGCATATTCTTATCTCCCCTTACATATACATGTATACATACATATCTTTAACCCAAACTTCTGGTCGTAACTATAGATTGAACTGGACAGAATATTAATGCTGTATTGATGTTTGTTTTATTTATTTAAAAAATGTGTTTATAGTAAGTCTAATTATTCTCTCCTTTTTAAGAGCTCGGGTTTTATTTTTGG